ACCACACTGGAAAACAGGCCGATCCATGTCAATATGGACCAAACTCCCTGAGGAATGCTTCCAGCACCTTGTTGAATCTATGCCACCAAGAATTGAGGCAGTTCTGAAGGCAAAAGGGGGTCCAACCCGTTACTAGCATGGGGTACCTAATAAAGTGGCCGGTGAGTGTATATACTTCTGCCATTATATAGTCCACAAACTAAACATTAATGGATGCTCGAGACAAAATAGTAGACACGTGTCCTTCACCATACTCCAGGAAGGGCTTCCATATGCGTGTCAGTCTTAGAGTGGACGAGGCGTCTTAGGAAGTCAAGAGGGATATGTTCCAAGATAAGCTTCTTCCACCCAAAATAGTTGGAGATTTGAGATCCATTGCAGCAAAATATTCATTTCTGATGATACTGTGGTCTTTATGTATGGTTTCACCAAAAAGTGATTCCTGATAAACCAACAAACTCCCTTGGTTTTGCTACAGCATCGTTACAGAACCTTAAAGTGATATAAGTATATGATTCTTAACTTAGACTTACAGCAAAGTTATAAAGGCAGGTTTTTAAGGCTCAGAGTTTTTCCCTTCAGGTCTGCAGAACACTTCAGATGTCAGATTAGGCACCTAGGATGTAGAGCTTCTCTTAGATTATTTTCTAACCACTTTGTTACCATTCAGTGTTACAGAAACCATGTTTTTGACCATAATAGATTTTCAACATTGGTTAAATAAAAAATAAGAACAATAAGTTACTGTCCAGGGAAAATATATAAAAAACAAACAAAACATGCTTATCTTATATAAAAATGTTTTCATAGTCTGACCTCTCATTTTCCCAAATTCCTTTCTTCAAACAAAACTAACTTAAAACTTATTTCTAATATATTAAGTTTATCTGTTTGCATTTCATAATAATCAGGTTACTTATATTCAATTCAAAACAATAAACTTTGAAATAAAAACACTCGTTAGTATTCATTTTGAGTAAGTATGTTTTATTAATACTAAATAAATAAGTCTAATGATTATGTATTACAAATAAATAAGCTTTATTCTACAACACAGTATGGATCATGTAAGGTTTATTTAATAGGTTTGTATTAAAATGATCTAAAACAAGTAAATAGGCATTTGTTATCTAATAAATTTACATAAATCATATTTATTTTGGTTGAATAAATCTCATTTAATGTGGGTTAATTATTTCTGTGGGTGTGCATTCATACTGTTCAACATTATTCGGAAACTTGAATCTTTCTTGAAGTAGAAAAAGACTGAATAATTTATACTCACAATAAATGCGCAGACCAGTGATCAATGCGAATATAAGCCAACAGATCAGAAACGGTGACAGACGCCGTAGGATGGCTGGGAACCTGCGCTCTAATTAGAGAAATATTTTAGGAACATCATAGTCTGCGATTTACCAAATCGCAGAAAAATAAATATTTTCTTATCTACTTTTTTTCTGTGGTCCATGTGGAATTGCAGGGTGGTTGTCCATGGTGCCAGTTGCAGCAATCCTGTATTAAACCTTTTCTTGAAGATGACCTTTAAATATAACGTGAAAATCTTCATAATTTATACTTAGGAACTCCAAAAGTGTTTCATCTAATAAAAGAAATCCCCATTTATAAAAGGAAACTAATCATACCTGCAGACTGGTAAACACTTGACTTAAGGGTCCTAGTCGCCTCCATAGACTCTGTTCTCCTATTGAACAAACTCCTCCGTCAGCTTGCAGGCAGAAGTGATTGTGACTGAAAAAAGAAAGAGTTTCTTACTGAGAACCATCTGCTTTGTGGTTTCTCATATATTCCTGCTCAGCTTTAAAATGCTGTCGTTAACCTTTTAACCTTAGGTTTTTGTAACTGCTGACATTTCTCCTGGACTTTTTAGAAAAACATCTCCTTTCTTGGTTAAATTTCAGTAACCTGTTGTAGAACAAACAAAGCCATTAAATCTGCTGTTTTAAAATTGTTAATGATTAACAGTCATCGTGGAAAATCTTTCATTTCTCCATTTATGACTGACCAACTTAATTTATGACATATGTTTTTAATCAGGGAAGTTCAATTCATTCTATTCAGTTTATTTCTATAGCTCCAATTCCCATCATGTCATC